TTTTGAGACAGGGTCTCACTATGTAGTTGAGACTGACCTGGAACTCACTGTGTAGCCCAGGCTGGTCTCACAGCGATCCTCCTGCCTCAGCCTCCCGAGTGCTGGTATTACAGGCATGCACCACCACGCCCGGCTCCAAAGCTCACTTTCTACCTGAAGTGCTCGGAAAGCCCTTGAAAGGTCTGTGGCATCCTGAACTGTTACTGTGGGCTGCAGGGGTCTCGCCCTGGCTGGAGGAAGAACAGCGCCACAGTCGTGACCCCACTCTTTGAAAAGGCCACAGGGCAACACAGGCAAGTCACACGCGCTCCCAGCGGCCCACCGCCTCGCTGGGGTCGTCCAGGGTGCGCAGGGGTGAGAGCCACAGGGACAGTCTGGACCAGGGCCCAGGCTTCCTCCGTAGCCGGGGAGGGGGCCGGTGCACAAAGGGACCGGACCTGTCCCCATTGTTTACTCATAATGGGAACGGCTTCCTGCGCCCTTCGCCCTGGTGAAGTATTCAGAACCAGTTCCCGAAAGCGAAGACTCCAAGGAGGAAACTGCTGGGTCCCAGGGGCACTAGGCGCCCAGTGAGCGGCTGAGTTTGGCAGCGGCGCCTGGATACCCTCGGGGCCTGAGCCAGGCTCCTCCACCCTGCACCCCCTCACCTTGCTGAGCCCGTTCCACTTGTCCACCATGTGGATCCGCCTGGGGTTCTTCACTCCCGTAAACACCGTGAAGAGCCCGGAGTCTGAGTCGTTTAGCTGGAGATGGTGGGAGATGGTGTCTGAGGGCCACAGCTCCATCCCGGCACTGTCCGTCCCCGGCCACCAGGAGACCAGGGCCACCATCTCACTGTCGGCCTCTCCCTTCCCAGCTCAAAAGGGGTGGCTGTCCCCACAGCACAGCATGGGCTGGCATGGCGGTGTGCGCCTGTCACCCCAGCTCTCTGGGAGGCTGAGGCAGGAGGATCCCTGGAACACTATGAGGGCCGAGCACATGCACCAGTCTCCCACTATTGCATGGCTAACATCCATGACCACAAGCACAGACACAGCATGGCAGACTGCTGTGACCACCCACGGCACTAGGCCACACTCCCAGCCTCCCCTGCGGCTGGTGTGGCGCATTGAACCCTGTATCCAGGGAGCCGAGGTCAGAGGTCAGAGGTCTCAGCTGAGCCTGGGTCAGTCCAGTTCTGTGGGCCAATGACCTCCTTTTCTTCTGTCGTGCAGATTGAACCAGAGCCTCGCGTGTGTGGTGGGGGCAAATGCTCTGCCAACTCCTGAGTTCCCTCTCCAGCCCCTTCTGCTTCAGTTTCAGTCAGCCTCTTACTCCATGGCTAAATTGCTCAGGCCGGCCTCAAACTTGCCACCCTCCTGCCTCAGCCTTTGGAGGAGCTGAGATGACAGGCCTGCTCCACCACACTCAGCTTCTAATAATTCCTGTTGTGCTCGCGGCCATGAGCTGGGTCCCCACCCTTACTGACCGACCCCCCAGTCCCCAGCCACTCACCCCCAGGAACAGCCCGAACTTGCCCTGGACGGGGAACATCTCGGGGAAGTACTTGCTGATGAGGTGCACCAGCGGGTCCTCGTAGCCCCACATGATCTGGCCCACCGTGCGGTTCATGAAGGCTCGCTGGCCCAGGGTGCTGAAGGCCAAGGTCATGATCAGCTTCAGGCTCATGGGCCGGTACTCCATCATGGCCGAGGCGGCCTGCCGGCAAGGACGGTGTCAGGCGGGCATGGCGGCCCTACCCTCCACCCACTGCCCACCCTCGGTCTCTAGCAAATTAAGTGAACCGAGGTGGGCAGGAGGCACAGGCCTGGCCCGTCAGCACCCACCTCCCCTGGCCGGGCTGGGCATAGGCCAAAGCACCACCAGGAGACATTCTGCAGGGGCCTAGTCCTGTGGGTCCCCAGCCACCACAGGGGTGGGCCTGCCAGAGAGAGTCCCCCCCACGAGTGCGTGTGCACCCTGGATCAAGCCACACCTGAAGCTCAGAAATCCCCAGACTTTCCCTTTTTCAGAGCCCACAAGTTCTCCATTTGCTGGAGGTGATTTGGGGTTCACTGATATGAGAGAGGTTTGGGTTCCACTTCCATATCCTCTCCTTCCTGCCTAAATGCTGAGGGCCCCAACACCCACTCCATCCACTACTGGGTGCCTAAGAGAAGAGGATTTATTCAATCACTTTTGCTTTCCTCCAAAGACACTGTCTTGACAGTTGGTTGATTTTTTTCAAGTCTCTTCCCATCAAAAAGCCACTGCCGGGGCTGGGGATTTAGCTCAATGGTTCTGCCACCTGCTTCTGGAGTGCAAGGACTCAAGTTCCATCCCCGGTACCAAAAACAAACAAACAACAATAACAACAACAACAAAAGCCACTGCCCCCATTTCTAGAGCCGGAGCTGTATGCTCAGGCCCCACAGGACCTCACAGGGTCACCTTTACTTTCTGATACTCTCTGAAGGCATTGAGCGTGGGGTGGAGGAGGCAGCGGGGTTTCTTGTTTTGTCTTCAGTACCAAGGGTTGAGCCCAGGGCCTTTGCACCGAGCTACACCCCCAACCTTTGTTCTGTTTTATCCTAGCTAGGTTCTGGCTAAATTGCCCAGGCTGGGCTCCACCTTATGATCCTCCTGCCTCAGCCTCCCAGAGTGCTGGAATGTCAGGGCTGCCTCACCATGCCCAGCTTAAACACATAATTTTAAGAAGTCAAAAAGAGGACATAGCTAGGTGTGGCAGTGGACACCTATAATCTCAGCATTCGGGAGGCTGAGGCAGGAGAACTGCTGTGAGTTTGAGGCCAGCTTGGGCGACATCTCAAAAAAAAAGGACATGAAATAAAATTCTAAGTCCCCTAACCCTGCAGACTGGACATTTGTCCAACAATAATTTCCGCAGGGTCTGTACCAGCTACACTGCGTGTTTTTGCACAAACTAAGAATAGTTTTGTTTTGTTTGTTCCGTTTACATTTTCAATGGCTTTGGAAAACACAAGCAGAAGACTCTTTCTGGAAACGCGACCCCCTGTGACATTCACCCTTCAGCGTCCCTACAGCCGTGTGTTTGAGACCCACGGCTGCGACTCCCTGGTGGCCCCTGATGGGCTGGGGATACGGGAGCGGCCAGGCAGAGGTGGGCCTCAGTCTGGGGACGTGGACGAGTCGGAGCGTCCCCAGCCTCAAGTGTCCCCGCGCACCTGCCTGCTCCGGCAAGGGCACCACCCCCCAAGGCCACAGCCCCACAGGGGCCCTCCTGGAGACCCCGGAGCCGTCCGGGAAGGGGGCGGGGCGCCTCACCATGACCAGGATGTTGGGCAGCATGATGTAGTCGCTCTCCGAGCCACGGGACCTCTCGGGCTGGAACCGGAAGGTGCAGTGCTCCCGGAAGGACACCGTGTCGTTGTTGTGGAAGGAGATGTTCCTTTTCTCCCTGAACTGCCTGGGGAAGATGTGGGCGCCGGTCAGCGGCCAAGGAGACCAGCCCAGCCCTCGCCGACACCGGCGGTCCCCACGGTGTCCCCGCCTCACCTGTACACGTAGGGCCCACGCTCGCGCACCTGGGGCACACCGCCCTGCAGGATCTCGTCAGGGTTGGCCACGTCGAAGAAGTAGACGGACATGTAGAAGGGCACGGGGATGTCCTTCCACATGCCGAAGGCCAGGCTGCTCGGGTCGATGCGCACGTTCTGCGGGTGGGCGGGGCGGGGGTCAGGGCGGCACCAGGCTGGGCCGCGGGCACCGAACAGCCCGGGCAAGATCCGGGTTGTTTTGTTGGTGTTTGGTACCGGGGATCGAACTCGGGACCTTGCGCTTATGAGGCAGGCAGCGGCACCACTGAGCTTTAAATCCCCGGCCCTGGAGGTAGGGTTTGGGAGGCTCTGAGTTACTTTTCTCAAAAATAGCGGACAGCCAGAGTTAAAGGAGAGCAGGTTTATTTAACCCACAATGTCCGTGGCCGGCACCAGGCAGAGGAGAAACAACATGGCGCTCACAGAGTAGCAAAAGCAACAGGGGCTTTTGACAGCGTCTTTCTGCCTCTTTTCTCTTATTCAGACAACAGAGATTAGGTGCCCATCCAATCGCTGGACTGGTTTAGTACTCACACACCTTTAGTCCCGGCATCACACCCTAGATTCAGCCGCCCCTGAAAAAGGCTCACGGAGGACCGCACGAGGCTGTGGGGGGACATCTACACACAGACATAACAGAGGCTTTGATTCTCGTGGAAAAACTCAAGCCAAAACCAAAATAAACACCAATGTCAGGCAGGAGGTCCAGGCATGTGGGAGTGGGGCACCCCGTGGCGACCCCAGTCGGTGCAAAGCCCCGGTCAGCTCAAAAGGCTTCAAAGGCTTCGGCAGTTCTCAGTTTTGTGAGAACATACTTTTCTATGGAGAGTCGGAAATGCCCTCCCCACAACCAGCCCATCAGAAAGCCGGTGTCCCAAGGCCAGGCGGCCAGGACAGGTCACGGTCACTTCCTGCTGTCACCGAACACAGCCTCCAGGGCAGGCTCGGTCACCCACCGTCCCCAACAGCCAGGACCCACGGGCTCCTTCCAGAGGAGGACAGGGTCTGGCCGTGGCGCCCATCGGGGTGAGCCGTGCGGGGGCAGGTGGGAGGCCCAGCTCTGCCACGGCGAAAGCGCAGCCGCCCCACTCCCTGGTGCCATGGAGACTGGGCCGGACAGGCCCGTGGCCGCACTGTGAGGCCCCGGGTGCCGCCCCACCTGGCCAGCGCCTTGGCATCCACCGCCGTCTCCATGCAACAGACCAGGAAACTGAGGCACGACGGAGGCTGTGGAGGTGGGGGAGGAGGCGCGTGAGCCAGGCTGCAGCTGACCTGTCTGCCCCAGACGGCTCCCCACACCCGCCAACCGCAGCTCCACCCCCCCAGCTCACCAGGCCTGGAGCCCACGCACTGCAGGCCCCTCTGCCTGGGACTCAGGTGTCCGTCCTGTCCCCACCGCCTCGCCGGGAAGCCTCCCTGGCTCCCCTGCCTAAGGGACCAGCCCCTCCCAGCAAGGCCGCCCTGCAGAACATGGTCCTC